AGGGGGGGGGAGGGACTGGTGCGTGGAGGTAAGGAATATAATAACAGAAGGGTGCGGTGAACACAAATCGGAAAGGCCAGAGAAAGAAGAAGACGAGGGCCATCATCGTCATCATCATCATCATCATCGTCATCATCATCATCATTTTCTTTCTCACCCTGGGTCAAACACTTTCAGTTTCTCTATTTTGCGCTTACTTCGGGACATTTCGCAATGTCTCTACACATTTCTGTTCGTACTGCTGGTGCCAGAACTTCTTTGTATCCCTAGATCAGCGAAAAAAAACCCTGACGTGTTTGCTTGTGTTTTCGTAGCTTTTAAGTTTTTACCTGGCCAGGTAGTTGGTTCTCAACCAACTGGCTCTTCACTTGAGATAGACATAGAAACATTAATCTAGTCCCCTTCCACGACACACATTATCATGGCAAGGGTTATCCGTAGTTCCCCCTTGGTATACAGTTATCTTTCGAGTTGTGTTAAAGGAAAAGAAATGGCCTGGTCCAAACGGAGACCAACCCCTACCCCCCCCCACCCCCCACCTTTTTCCCTTTCAAATTGTCTTCTTCTTCTTCAGCACCGCCTGCACAGTTTTACGTAGGAAGAATGGATAAGCTTTTTTGATAAAAGAAGAGAAGAGGGTGGGGGCGGTTTTTTTCGGAGGGGGGGGGGGGCAGAGGGCCAACTTTTTTTTATACACTTTGCGATAATATGACACACAAGAATATTTACGACACTTTGGATACAAGCTGGTCCATTTTTATTTTAAAAAATGTGACTTGATGAAACGGTGATTGATTGCATTGTTAACATTGCTTTCATTTATTGCTTTATGTTATGGTTCTGTTGATGATACTTTGAGGACCAGGACAAATCGGCAGGAAGGGCACTTTCTGTGCACATGTCAAGGATGACAGACTCTTGCTGTAGACAATTTATGGCAAACTTATAGACTATAAGGACCTTCAACTTCTTGAGAGAAATGTCAGCTTAAAAAACAGTTCCAGATTATATTTATGTTTACTTCTCTCTCTCTCTCTCTCTCTCTCTCTCTCTCTCTCTCTCTCTCTCTCTCTCCCCCTCTCTCTCTCTCTCTCTCTCTCTCTCTCTCTCTCTGTCTCTTCGGTTGCGTCCTTGATTGAAGTGTTTTACTGACTAGTTTAATTTATTGCCCTGATTTGCGCAAGACGATATATAAACACGGATTATTCAGATCAAATCATTCCACATCTTCTGGGACCCAAGAAGCCACAAGAGGCAGACAACCTTGAAGACAAAGAAACATGATGTCAGGACCATACCGAATTCTTCTTGCTCTCCTTGTCGTGTTTGCGATGAGTGAGGCAAAGTTCGACATCAAAGTTTCCCTGCTTCCGACATCTTGGATACCGATAGGAAGCGAACAAATGCCGGCTGAATCGAGAATCGTCAACGGCGACAACGCAAATCGAGGAACCGCCCCTTACATCGTTAGCTTACAGGTATGAGTTAAGGCTGTAACAACGCTAACGCCAGAAAACAGCATCAAGACATAGGGCCTATTGTATTAAAAGAAATTTGCCTGATATTATTCCTTTTAACCTGTGACATAATCTATCTATACGTATCGTTATATTTATCTTTACATCGTTTGATCCATCCGCCATTCTATTTATTTATCTTTCAATTGTTCCGACTCTCTGCCCTTTTTCAAGACGTTTGCATCGACAGGAAGCATTGTTTATATCAAATCTATTTATTTCTGCAATTTGTGGGGCTTACTTTATAAAACATTATTATCGTAACCATACAGGGGACCAAACACGCTCTCTTTCACTTAAAAGTAGTTTACTCACTGTTTCTATAACAGACCCTGACAAATCATAATCATCATCATCCAGTGCCTTGCCGACTGGCGTGGGCGATCATGGACCTCCATTTCGCTCTGTCCCGCGTTGCAGCAATGGTGTCTGTTGTTCTTGCTGCTCCTAGCCATGTTGTCATCTTGTCCAATACCTTTTCCCTCTGTCTGCCTCTGCCTCTCTTTCCATCTAACTTGCCTGTTGTTACAATATTCTCCAATGCTTCTTTCCGCATTGTGTGTCCGAAGAAATTTGCCTGTCGCTTTCTTATATTCTTATATCATAATACAGAATTAAAAGCATACACCCCCCCCCCCTCAGTTCGTTCTCCGCCTCCTTCTGAGGGGAAAATTAATTTTTCCAATCAAATCATTATTTGTATAATAATAGGTCACGATCGGATTCTATTTGATTAAATCATAGCCGACAACCATTGGGAAGGACTAGTTTATTAATTGCTTGCGGAATGCGATGGGCCGTAATGAGATTCTAGGTCAATTGGGTGAACGTATTAAAGCAGCAGAAGATGTCAATTCGATATAGAGTTCAATGGCTAGCATCATCATCACCCCTACCCGAACAAATCCTACCCCACCGAACTCTATTCGATCTACCCATGCATTTCAATTTGACCAATGATCATAATATGTTATATCATTATTATTATTATTATTATTATTATTATTATTATTATTATTATTATTATTATTATTATTATTATTATTATTATTATTGTTATATGTTATTATCATTATCCTGTTTCCATCAGGCGGTCGTTGCAAACAAGAGCTACCACATATGCGGTGGTTCTATCATCTCACCCACCAGGATACTGACCGCTGCCCATTGCCTCCCCTACTGGGGCCGCTTCCCGCATCAGGTCGGCGTGGGTTTCCGGAGCCTGGAGGTTGGAGCCAACGCCCCAGGGGCGGCCGTCATTCAAGTGATGGCAGCTAACGTTCACGAAAACTATGAGAGGGAGGGAGTAAAAGGCTTCCCCAATGACGTGGCAATTCTTGAACTGGCGACCCCCGTGCCCCAGTCCCAGTGGGTCCAGGTACAGTAATAGTTGTGGAAGGCGTAAAGCATGGGTTAGCACTGTGATATAGATATTATTATTATTTCTATTATTATCACCATCATTATCATCAAGATTATCGTTAAATCATCAATATTATTATTATTATTATTATTACTATTATTATTATTATTATTATTATTATTATTTTATTATTTTATTTTTAACAAAATAATTTCATCAATGTCATCACTAGTATATTATTATATTATATTATTATAATTATTTTACACAATTATTATTATCATTACAATTTATATTATTATTAAAATTATTATTTTACATTATTATTATATCATTATTAGTAGCATTATTATTATCTTTATTATTATTATTATTATTATTATTATTATTATTATTATTATTATTATTATTATTGGTATTATTATTTTGCATGGACGCAATTTATTCCTACCTTATCGAGGACATAGGTAATAAACCCTTGACCTCGTTTCAGAACCACCTCTGACCATTCCTGAGACATTTTATATTTTTTAATGGTTAAGAATATTATCATAAGCCAAAGCTAACCTCTGAAGACTGTTCTATGTACCCTGTGTTTGAACCCACATCCGGGGAATATCAGTTTAGACCAGAAGCCGAGCACACTTTAAATTTTTTTTTTTTTTGGTAAGTGTTTTACGGCGCTCGCAACTGCATAATGTCACTTGAGCCCGCGAGACACATTAAACATTTTCAGTTGGTAAGGAATTTTAAATTTTGCCCGAGTGGCAGCCGAAGCCTACTCGTACAGATTTTGGACCACCAAGGAATCTTTAAAGTGCGCAACTTGCACACGGGACGTCCGAGATTTTTCGCCCTTTTCCGAGAAGGCTAGGTGTGCATCTTTCCTACCATGAGATCAGGGGTGTAGCTGAAACACAGCAGCAAGAAGGAGCCAGGGAGTAGTAGTAGAAAGGCTGCAGACAGAGTTAGGAGCCCAGAGGAGGGGGAAATGGATGTGAGGGGGTGGCGGCACAAAGTGAAGACGAAAGCAGACGACAGAACATTGTCAGAGCAGGAAAAAATGTGAAAGGAGAACATTTTAGAGAAGAAAATATTCTGTCGCTATCCGGATTTGAACCCGGGACCCATTAAATGATAGATGAACACCTTCACTTCTGGACCACGAGAGCCCCCACATCGAGCACACAGACAATCTAAAGAGTAATCACTTACGATTTTATCACTTACTTACTTACTTGGTTGGAGAATAGGTATCATTGCAGACGGCACAAAGCCATTGCTGCTCCTCCCTCCTCACCAGAGTCCATGAAAGGGTTGGTTTTCTGATCGAGCAATTTACGATGGTACCATGTTACATAGTATTATTATTATTAAAGTCTATATGAACATTGATAGAAATTGGTTTGCTTTTCTTCTAAATACAAGTCATAATATTAAAAAAGCTACATCGAGTGTCAAAAAACGCATTTTATGACCCGACTCTAAGGCTCTTTTGTAGGATGATTAGAATTTGGAATAAAATAGCATTTTCTATAAAATTCAATAACAAGAAGGGGCATAGGTTATAATGTGAAATAGATTATAAATCAACAACAAACCAAAAAGAAAAACAAATTGATAATTGGATCTCATTTATTTTCTTCAGGTCATAGAAATGGCCAAATCGGATGACGGAAGTTTCGACGAGGACGAATGCTTTCTACATGGATGGGGCCGTCTGTCCGCCGGTGGGGAGAGTCCCACCATCCTCCAGAACGCGACCTTCACTGGAGTGACGTACGACGAATGTCGTACCTTGTACTCTACAGGTAACATTCAGGTCAGGTGGTCACACTTCTGCGGCTACAACTACCCCCAGTCTGCCTGCAACGGAGACTCTGGGGGTCCTCTGGTGTGTCGAGGCAAGCTAGTAGGCGTCGTTTCTTGGGGATTGTCCAACTGTTCCGGGTGTTTCCCCGGCGTCTATTCACGAGTTGCCGCTTTTGAGTGGTGGATCCGTCGTTTTGTTTAGGCAGTCGCAACTCGATCCGAAGGCATGATGAATATAGTAACATCGACCAGCTGGCAGCTGTTCAGGTGTGCTTAGCCCAAATTTTTTATATTCTTTTTCTTTGCGGTTTAGGTTGTTGTTGTTTTTGTTGTTGTTGTTGTTGTTGTTGTTGTTCTTTTTACATTTTTTATGTGTGCGTTTGTGCTTTTGTTTTTTCAACAGTGGGATCGGTTGCTTGTGCAAGAGAAATGGATTATCGAAATTCAAATATTAAATGTTGGAGAAAGCAACATTTTAAACAAATAATACATATTGCAGTTACCGGTACAATGTTAAAAGAATACTTTGTTCTATTTTTCTCTCGATTTTCTTTTTAAAAAAAACAATTTTCTTTTTGGACTCAAAACAGATGAAGAGCTTACCGACGACATGTATTGCTACCCTCATTTGTCTATGTATTTTTTCTCGCTATCTCTATTTTAGTTACAGCTCCTTTAAAAGTGTTTGGGCATTTTATCTTCAATAAAGTGTAACATTAATTATATTTATTGACAAAATTTGATCGGCGGAAAGTAGCAATTAAAAAAAAAAAATTTGGCGAATCCTGCACAACTTTTGCTCGCAAAGGAAACCCTAACGCTTGTGTATGCTAAGCTGTTGAGGGTTAAACGACCATTTCCTCGTTGTTTACACGTGTGTATCAGTAGTAGATGTTTTGTTCAATTTTGTTAGACGAAATAAAATCTCCTGGCAGAAAATGTGTTGAAAATATTGCAGTTTGTTAGTATATCAAAGTAATTTTTATCTCTTCATGCTCTTACTGCCTGCTTCTGAGTGTGTCTATGTATACACATATTGTCCATGTGCTGTGAACGTTTCATTTAATGTTTTTGTTTTTGTATGAGACCATAGTATATTATGATGTTTTCGTTCTTGTGTGGAAGTGTATTTCATAACATGCTTCCGTTCTGTTTGTAATAGAACAAGCCAAACTAAAGATCAAAACAGAAGGGTGGGTGGTTGGCGGGTGCTCTGGTGTGGTTTGCTTCTTCTTTCCTATCAAACATCTATCGTCCTTATCTCCCCTTCATCTTTTTTATGTTTGTTACTCTCTTGTAACAGCTCTAATCTTCTGGCGCTCATATGACCTTATGCAGTTGCAAGCGCTAAAAAAACCCTACTAAACTAAAACTAAACTAAAACAAACGGAAACAAAACTGAGAATTGTGATATGTGGCGTCGGTGTCCTAGTGGTTAGGCTCTCGGACTCGCAACCGTAAGGTCGTGGTTTCGAATCCGGACAGAGGCCAGACGTTGTGTCCTTGGGAAGGCACTATGCATGAATATTCTATAATTTCACGCATGTGGGAATGGGTACCCAGCTATAGACAGTAAAAGATCTTGTCAGTTTGTTGGTGTTTGAGGGCTTTACAGCTGCTTGCACTGTATGCTCCCCGGCAAGCTTTTGTTTCCGAGTGTTCTATGGTCTGCTGGGGTAAGGATATAGTGAAAAGCGGATAGAGCTTGCCGTTGAGCGGGAGTATGCGCTATATAAATGCTATTTGCTATTAATCTATTTTTATTATTATAATAATAATAATTATTATTATTAATATTAATATTATTATAAGTCATTTTTGTCTGCACTCTTCTACTGCATCTGGATATACCAAACCAGCAAGACAGTGCACAAGGGAACTATGTGATGGGGGAACGTACTGTATTGAAAAAAAAGAACTGGAGGGGACACAGCGATGAAATACCAACAGGTAAAATCGGCACTAGCTACAAAGCGAAATCAGCCGCAATGCTACACGCGCTTCAATGGCTATCAGAACAGCTGCCATCAACGTGCACATTATGTTCTCTTTCTACACAGACTTGCAATCACTAGAACAGCACTTAGCATCAGGTGTGACGGCACTGAAAACCAAAATTGCTGATGAGTCGTGGATTGCAATTAGAATGTATATGTTGCCGCTGGGAAATACAAGAAGAAGTGTACAAGGGATGCAAAGTAACAGGCAGGCAGAGGAAGAGACTGGGGGACCCTACCACATTTACAAACACACACACACACACACACACACACACACACACACACACACACACACACACACATATATACACACACACACACTCACACCACTCTCTCACGCACACACTTTCACACACACTCACACACACACACACACACACACACACACACATACACACACACACTCACATCACTCTCTCACGCACACACTTTCACACACACTCACACACACACACACACACACACACACACACACACGCAGACACACACACACACACACACACACACAGACACACACAGACATACACACATATACACACATACACACACACACACATACACAGACGGCCACATAATACAATACTATCTTTGTTCCTCCCGTGATCCCTCCATTAGTTTTTTCGCAAATGTGATCAAAGGGAAACAATACGGAAAAAACAAATTAAGAATGTAACAGCTAAATTAATTCCCTTAAATTTTATTTGTGAGATTCTGTCCTCTTTGAATAACTCTGTCTGTCTATCTGTCTTTCTTTCTTTCTATCTGTCTATGTACCCGTTTGTCTGTGTCTAAGTATAGAGAACTTTTTTTTACTTACTTAAAGATATATTATTATCCTCCTAGGTCGCACTCTGCAACCAGATTTAACTTTCTCTCTGAGGCATGGAGTTTGAGACTTGATTCGTTATACTTCGAGGTCACTGATCCCAAGAACTGCATCAGTCTTGTCCTATCACATCAATTTTTTTCTGTATGGCAAAATCACTGTTTTTGCGGTATGTTATTGAATTAGCATTAATAATAATAAATACCAACCATGTTCAGAGCAACAATTAAAAAAAGAGAATGAAACTTCCAAACTTTTATTCATTCGTATAAAGCATGTAACAATCTTCAACTTCACTATATAGCAATGAGTAAAACATTAAGAAGGAGTACATGTACTTAAGTGTATTGCTATGTCAGTCGTTACTCTCTGAGACTTAGACATTTTCTGTCTCTATTTCTGTGTAGAATTTGTTGTAATAACAAATGTTTTTTGTTTGTAAAACCTTGTATTGCACTTTAACAAAAAAATTGCACTGATTAGACTCTAGCCATGCCTAGTTAAGACCTAAGAAGATGAAAAACTCTTATTTCTATGTCGTGTAAAAGACTTAAGCGAGTTGCTGTGTTGGTCGTTACACACTCAGATATAGACATTATCTATCTGTTTTAGTGTAGAACGAGTTGTAATAACCAAAATATTATTTTGTTTGGTTTGACTGGTTTTTTACTTATACAAGTAAGTTTGTACTAACTACAATCTAGCCAAGCCAAGTTGTGGCATCAGAAGCTTAAAATTCTTGTTTCTTTTTTCTTCCAAATAGCTTTAGTAAGTTGTTATATCGGTCGTTACACTCTCAGTTTTAAGTTGGAGACAACATATTCATGACATAAACTTTGTTTTGAAGGGGTGTATGGATTGCGTTGGGTCTGGACAGTCTCTTTGAATGCTTCAACATTAATCTATCAGTGTGTAGTGCCCTATTGGCCTTGATATGGATTCTTCATATTCGTTAAGTCTTTATAAAATGTTTCAATTGCTAATGATTGATGTTACCAAATTTTTGAGGAAAATCGTTTAAATGACCAACAACAAAAAAATGACAGTTGATGATCATGTTGCAGCTCAAAAGATAGAAATTTCCAAACAAAGTTTTGATAAGGCTCTTGGAAATTTAAAAAAGATTCTGTCTAAAGCCTAACTTGATATATAAAAGAGGAAAGACTTTTTTCTTTCTATAATAATAATAATAATAATAATAATAATAATAATAATAATAATAATAATAATAATAAATTATAATAATTAGCATTTATGCTGCGCAATTCCATTTCCTCAAAAATGCTCAATGCGCAATACATTCATAAAGATATCACATAAAAAAAACAATGGACATGGGTAACGTAAAATTTAGTATTATTATGTATATATGTAAATGTATTTAAAAAATTATATGAGGAAATTAGTCACTCAGCGAGCTTGGCCCTGCCCTCATTAAAAATATAAAAATTTTAAAAAAGCTCACCAGCAGTCACAGTTAAACTGAAACTTGAATTGCTACCAACAGAATAAAACATTCGATAAAAAGAAATCACCTGACCTCAGCTACATTGAGAGGCAAACAATCAGGTGGTTTGGATATCTGACACGTATGGCACCTCACCAGCGTGCCAGTAAAGCGCACTACAAAAAATACACCAGGGAACAAGGCAAGAGGAAGACCAAGGAAGACCTGGATCGAGGGTGTGAAGAATACCTTGAAAGCATACAACATTCCGCCCAGCCAGCCCATCCAACTTGCAAAAGACAAAAAGCCCTCTCTCCCTTCGACGCCCTAGAGGTAAAAGAGGACGGATAACGTAAAGTAAAGTAAGACCAAATACAGTTTTAAAGACAAAAAAAAACCCCAAACATGTTTATAGGTAAACCTATGCTTTTGCATAATTTTTGGGGCATTCTCTTAAAAATATTTAGGGTTAAAATGTACAGTTATTTTGTTCTATTCTATTTTTGTAAGGCACATGTATTATGAGGGTGCGGTGGCGGAGTGGTTAGTGCGCTCGTATGATCGTCTCCGAAGCGGAATGTCCGGGATCGAGCCTTGGTTCAGACACGGATTTTTTTCGCCTAACTTCGAGTTGGGGAAGTAAAGGCGGCGTGGAAAGGAACTGGCAACCCTACCACAATAATATGCCGAAGGCCCAGGAAGTTGTCTCACTAACAAGGCAATCCCCAATGTCTGGATCAGATGCGGGAACAACTTTACTTTTACATGTATTATGCTTTATTACGTTTTAGTACACAAAAAGTGACATGCAAAGTGTGGGTGACATTGATTCATCCGTTAAGGAGATATTTAATAATCAGTTGCGTCACGAATTTTTGACCACACTATAACAACATACATTTTTGTACTTATGACTGAGGTCCTGCCTTTAAAAGGAAAGGCCGTGTCAGTGCGCAATTTGAAACTGCATTCGTGGCTTGCTTTCTGAAGTAACATGTGCAGTAGTTTTTTAAAAATCTATCTGCTTTAAGGCGTATTGATTTCCTTTAAAAAAATTAATACCCTCAAACGTGGCTATGAGTTAGCCTGTTGTACTTGTCGTGACTCTGGTCACGATTATACTTGGGAATTCCACCCTGAAGCAACAGCAGTACTCAGATTGATTCCGTGCCTTTTTTGTCACGGTTTTCACCATGTCATAATCCTATTATATTGCAGGGTTCCCCCACCAAGGCAGTGCTACTGACTGAAGTGTCTTTAGGCCATTCCCTCATCCTTACAATCTTCATTTTCCCTCTACTTCATTTGTATGTTTGTCACTCTCTTGTAGACTGCTATTTCCGGGGTGCCTTGATAGTCAAAGCAGATTTTGTGCCCTTTGAGGCTTGAAAGGTGAGCAGAGAAAGCCTGATTCCTCTTTTGGACTTCTCTGTTGACATCTACCCCATGGCGCTCATATGACCTTATGCAGTTGTGAGCACCGTAAAACCTTACTAAAACTAACTTTATTGCAGGGATCACCACACTACGGCCCGCGGGCCAGATTCTGCCTGCCATGTCAGTTCGTGTTGTTCGATACAATTCCACAATGCAGGCTAAAAAAACCCAAAACAAACAAACAAAAAAGTACCTTGATACATGTGTTTGTAGTGTGCTCAGGACCTAGTCACCCAAAAAAGTTTCATCATATCAATCCAACTCTGCAGTGTAAATTAAATTATCTGCTTTTTGAAGACTTCATAACTTTTAGCACACACTCTTGCTCAGCTTTGGTGTGATAAATATTTCAGTTCACACAGACATTTCCTACCGCAAAAATGACCCTTTGTCGCCAACGCGTAGGAGGTCCACTACTTCAAAAGTTTGTTGCCTCTATAATTATGTTTATGCATTTTCAGTTGTTTTTTTTTCTAATTGTTAAATTCACAGGCTGTTTGTCATTATCTTTTTAATGCATTTTATAAAGTGTATTAAAGAAGAAGGTAGAGATTTTGACCCAATTTTGGCCGGCGTTCGGCATTCTGCTAATTATCCTTCCCACTCTGAAGAAAAGCTTAGTGACCACCGATATAGAAAGGCAGTGCTAATATAAAAGACTAAGTAGCAAAAAGTGTTAATATCAGATCCATTTATTTCTCTGCATCGGGGCCTGAGAAGAATGTTTTGAAGGTGGAATTGTTCCGCAAATTTTCCGGTGTATCCATAGCAATCACTTGGCCCGCTTCCAAGAGAACGAGGAGGTCGTAGTCTAAAACATTCGTGAATCTGTGTGCGATCGTGAGTACAGTGCAGGTAGAACAGACTCGTTTAATAACTCCTTGGATTTTTTTGTCGGTGACCGGATCCAACGACGATGTTGCCTCATCGAAAAAGAAAATTTTGGCCTTTTCTAGCAAGGTCCTCGCTAAACAAATAAGCTGCTTTTGGCCCAGACTGAAGGTATCCCCTCCTTCTTTGCACACATACCCTAGACCTTCTGGCAGGGACTTGACTAACTCATCGAGCTGAACTTGAGCGAGTGTTGACCATAAGGCGTTGTCGTTGTGACGACCTGTAGGGTCTAAGTTCCACCTGAGAGTTCCACTAAAGATGACAGGATCTTGTGGGATGGTGGAGACGCTCTTTCGTAAGTGATGGAGTCCGACAGTACTGATGTCCACGTTGTCAATGTAGACAGCTCCATTGGACACGTCTCGAAGTCTCAACAAAACCTGAACAAGGGAAGACTTCCCTGCACCAGTTCGACCTATGATACCAATTTTTTGTCCAGGCAAGAAGGTCATAGAGACTTTTTTTAAGGCAGGGCCCCCTGCATTGCTATACATAAGCGATACGTCTTTAAATCTAATGTGGCCCAATTTTGGCCAAGACATCAAACTTGTATTCCTGGAATCAGAATCCCACTCCGCCTCAGAAGGTGTATCAAAGAAAGATGAAAGTCTTTTTACGGAGTACATGGAACCAATGAAACGACCAGTTTGCTTTATCAGTACGTTCATGTGGTGACCCAAGTCTATCGAGTACATCACAGCCAACCCAACACGTGCGGCTTTCGAGTCTCCAGACTCACCGACAGATGCGAAGATTGCGGATGACATGACAAAAAAAGTGCTCATGTACGTCATTGCCATACCCAACCACCTATTTTGAGCGTAAAATGCGTAAGTCATTGCATTTGATTCGTTCTCAGCTGAAACAAGCATGTCGAGGAACCGTTGTCTTAAATGAAACCCTCTAATCACATGCACGCCTTCAATTGTCTCTTGGATGCGACCATATTTGAAGCTGTTGTATTTCCGTCTGTTTGTTGTTATTTTTGCTTCTAGTGCAACATGTCTCAGTTGTATATAAATGGAGATTAAGGCAACCGGTGTGGCGAAAAGTAAAATATTTGGGCATGTGTAACACACGACAATAAGACTCGTCAAGATGTACGCAATTCTGTAGAAAAGTTCTTCTAGACTGAGAGGAACTTCGTGTCCTATTTCATGTACGTCATGGCCAAATCGTAAAGCCAGCTGGCCAAAAGGAGTTTCTTCGAAAAAGGTTAGAGGAGATCGCAAACATGACCACAATAATTGGCTTGCCAACGATCCTGTAGCTTCCGAATTACGAAGAGAACACAGGATCTGATAAAGAACAAAGAATACTAAAGAGCTAGCTGTCTGGAAGAAATACAGTTTTACGTGGTAGATATTTGTTTCCCATAAGGCTTCCTTAGTGCCGTCAGAGATACAGACCGGACCTTTTATTTCCGCCTGAAACCTAGCACAGGTTTGAAGGTCTTGACTGTTGTTGTAAATATCTTGTATCCGATTAGACCATTCGGTTAAACCTACCCTGGCCCTGGCATCTATGAAAACTGGAAATACTTGCAAAATGGCAAGGCACAAAACACTGAAAAGACCAACAGCTTTGAAATAAATCTTTACAGTTTCTCTGTCGATACTGCGGGCAGGTGATTCCTCATTCCAGTCTGACGGCTTAGGGAACTTTGCGTTGTTATTACCCTCATCACCTCCTGCAGCATTGTCTATTTCCTCTTTTACGTTCACTTTGAGAGCATGCTTTCTAGGAGTTTGAACGTCTTGGACAATGACAGCCTCGTATTCCGCTGCATCATCAACTGATTGACCAAGACGTCTGATTTCTATAACCATGTCTGCAAACGGTAACCATTGTGATCCACCGGTGGTCAAAATACGCGTTCTCTGCCCCAAAAGTCCTCGCCTGCCGATTAAGTTGTAGAAGATGTGTCTGGCCACGTTGTTGTCCACAGCACTGAGCGGATCATCCAACAGGACGATGTCCGACTGACAGTACGCTGCACGTGCAAGATTCACTCGCTGTTTCTGACCCCCGCTCAGGTTCTCTCCTTTATCCTTCACTTCAAACAAGTCTCCACATTCAAAGGATTCTAGGTCGGTGTTAAGTGCACATGACGTAAGAACATGTTCGTATAAGGACTTATTCACTGGGGATCCAAAAAGTATATTATCTTTTATGGTGGCGTTCAAGATCCAAGGTTCCTGTGGGACGTAGGAGGTAGTCCCGTTGACATACATGTCACCCTCTAATATTTCCATTTCCCCACAAAGAGCAGAGAGGAAAGATGTTTTTCCTGAGCCAACTGTTCCAGTAACTAAAACTAAGCTGCCTTTAGGAATACTAATATCGTCTGCTTTTAGAGTAAAAGCAGCTTGCCCTCTATCCCAGCAAAATGTGCTATTACGAATAGAAATGGCAGACGAACGATAACTCCCTATTTTGTCTGTGTCAACGTTGGGGTTTGAAAGGGTAGAAAAAGTTAGTTTACGTCTCGATTGAACAGATTCAGCGACCAATATTTCTTGCAGTCTATCAAATACTGCTCGTACACTGTAAAACGTGGTAAACAGGACGGGAAGGTCAAACATAGAAAAACGCAATTCGTTTACCAAAATCACAACAGCAAATGTAATGTCCGCCTTTAACGCTAGTCCTGTTGTATCGAAATAGATATGAGATAACAGAACCAAAGTGGTGGCTACCATAGGCGTCATACTCCAAGCTAACAGTCCAACCAGACGAAACAGAAAAATTTTGGTCAGAATCCTCATCTCCACACCAACTAAAGCCTCCACCTTTTTACCAAAAACAGTTTCCATCGCTAGGAGTTTGATATTTTTCATATTTCTCAGCATTTCGGTAACCACAGACATTTTCTCGTCTTTCGCTTTGCCTCGTGTTTGATACAGTACGCTCTGTTTGCCCAACATAAAGGAAGAGAATCCAACAACAGTTCCCAAGAACAGCACCACCAATATAGAAGACTTTCCGATGTAATAATACAATATGACAAAGGTGCCTACCATGTTGAACAAGCTCTTTACTCTCAAAGCAATCCAAATGATTCCTCTTGCTGAGTCCAAAAGATCTGACGAGACAACATTATTGATTTTAGCTGCAGTGAGATTGTACTTTGCGGTCTGGGATAAATGTAATAACTTATGAAAAACTAAGTAACTCATTCCAGATTTGATTCTTAAAGACGCTGTGTCCGCCAAATAGAGACTCCACTCATCGAGCAAACTGGACGTGAATAAGGAGAGAAATATGGCAACAAAAAGGAACAGCTGCTTGGATGAAAACAGTTGCTGTTCGTTGTCTTCCTTCTCAAACGACTTCATCAGCTCTGTGAAAAGAAAAGGCTTACACATCAGTGAGACCACGCGACCGACGAGGACAACTAGGATGATATGTAAGATGTACTTCCCGAATACTTGCCATATAAGCGTCACCAAATTCTTCGTACTCACGGGCTTCTTCTGACCATTTGTATAATATGGAGAATTGTAGTTTTTAGAACCACTGTTGCTTCTCTTTGTTGATCCACTCTTTGTTTTTTCAGAAGGTATATTGATAATTTTTCTAGCTGATGCATCGCCTGTCGTTTTGACGGAGAAGCTGTCAGTCTGTTTACTTTCCTCATCGCTCACAAACTGTCTTTGAAGTGCTGCATTCCAAGCTTCCAGAGTTTTCCGTCCCCAGATGGAAGCTTGAAACTGTTGTGGGAGATCTATACTTATGCCAGATCCTTCAGGGGTCACCAGTCTATTAGTCCAAGTAAACAGCAGATTTGACAACAGCGAAGAAGAACCAGATCCCATTTTGCCAAACATTCTGTGGACAAGAAAATGTACAGTTTCGGTTATGAAAAGCAATAATATGATTCGAAAAAGAAACACAATTTACTTCTAAAAAACTATTTTTGTCTTATAAATTTTCAGTTTCCAAGGACTCTCAAGCTACGTAAATCCCCAAACTTTTCCGTCATTCCCCCTCTAATTTTACATCTGAAACCAGAGAATCCCCACCTCCTTCAGGGGCAATATCTCTAATTCTATTCAAGAGTGATTTTGATTCTTTTTACAGAAAATAAAGCAAATAGACAAGCGTTAACCACTTCACTGCCAGACCCGAGAAACGAGTTATGGAGCCGGTATAAGAGTAAAAGCGCATTCCTGCGTTTTATAAATCCCATTTTTTAAAGACATTAGAATTCATTGGAGGTTTACTTTTTGTTTGAAGTAAGTAAGGAGTTTGGTTACGTCGTTGTTGTGTCATCTCAAACGTCAACACTATCGCCCCCACAATGCAAGCAACAGTGGGATGATCTCGCAAAGACCTTTGTGTTTACAGAACACTGCCGTTCACTTCACACTCCCAAACATTTTTTTTTTTTTTTTTTTTAAATTCTCATCCACTCGAACTTGGCGGAATAGCTGAAGAAAATCCAATTACCTACCTTAATAGATAAAAAAGACAACTACATCTAGATAGGCAGAAAATAAGACACCAGCTTGTGAAAAGATGACAAGATGCTTACATATTGCGAAGATTGTCTTCTATCAACAAGCGCCTAAGTTAATGTCGCAAAGTACAGTTAATCTCCAGGGATTTATCGTGGCATATGCAAATGAACAAAACCCAAAACATTTACAAATTTGTTCATTTTTAACGCTACGTTATATAAAATGAGATATGAGTCCCTGTGGCTACCAACTGTATAGTGACTTCTGATGGCACAGCAGTGGCAGGACCACCGCCAATGAAGTTGTAACTGAGGCGTCGGTACTGCTAACTGTGGGCAATGGGGGGGAGTTAGTGTTGGAATGGGCGGCATAAGGGTATAGGGAGGTTGGGGTAATGGGGTATGGGGGTTGAGAGGGTATGGGTTAGGGGGTGGAGGTAAAGGGGTTAATTGGGGGGTAAAGGGGGTATGGGGGTAAAGGGGGAGGGATTGAGGGGTAGAGGGGTAGAGGGAGGGGGTTTGAGAGGTATAGAGGGAGGGTTTGAGGGCTTATAGAGGCAGGGATTGGGGGTTGGGAGCAGGATGTGAAGTGTTTATTGGATTCGATTTGAATTTGTCGTCGGTGGCCTAGTGGTTAGGCTACCGTACTCGTAATCGTAAGGTTGTGGGTTCGGGGGTTCGAGCCGCAGGCCGGACGTTGTCCTTGGGAAAGGCGCTTAAAATGAATTTTCCCAACTTCACTCAGGTGGGAATTGGTACCCGGCTCCGGGCAGAGAAAGATCTTGTCAGTTTTTTAATGTTTGAGCACTTAACCAGCTGCTTGCACTGTATGTTTCTAAATGTTCTATGGTCTGCTGGGGTAGTAATATAGTGTAAAGCTCACAGAGCTTGCTTTCGAGTGGGGAAATGCGCAATACAAATGCTATTTATTATTATTCTTTATTATTAGTATTTTTAATCTAAGGTTTTTACGTTTCTGTTGCGAGTTCAGATTACTTTGGAGGCGAGTTTTGACCCTACCAGTCAGGAGCAGCATGAGCTGAGAGGCATACACCATCCCAAAGAAAAGACCGAAATACTCTTTTAAAAGTCCTCCCCTACACAGGAAACGAACTGGGTTGTTTTGTGTTTTTTGTTGTTGTTTTTTTTTTGCACGCATCGGCAAAATGCCTAATTACTACATCACAGACGCCAGGGAGCTTTCTGCAACCAATGCTCTGTATAGTAATCGTAATAGCAAGACGGAAAGAGGTTAGTTAATCCTTAATTGAACCCAGGCCTCCTTATACCACACACAAAACACACACACGCCCCCCCCCCCCCGGCTGAGGCTGGCATATACGTGTTGTATTGTGTATGCAAAAAAGTAAACTTAACATAATACGTTGGAATGTGCATTCAAGTTCGTAGGGTAGAACTATACAAGTTTTGAGACGTTTTTAAAAAATACAAATATATAGATTGTGTCTAACAGAAAGAATACATTGTAACAAGTTCGGTCAACTTCCTTAGTACTACAGAATCATGAGAATCAACAAATGAAACAGAAATTAAAACGTATAGGCTCGTGTCTGTGGTGAAACAATGAGGGACTTTGCAGTCGCACGCAGAAACCAGAGTTTGATTCTCGTGGGGGAAGGGGGGGGGGGGGCAAAATCAAATTGGCAGTGGCAGACTCTTCGTTGTCAGGCGCAGATGATATGAGCTCAAATTGGGGGGGGGGCAAAAATTATTTTTTAAACCGAGTATCTCGGTCTCTGTTCTGACACGTTGCTTCCCTTTAGGCCCTGGTTGGCCCGGTCAGGCAGTATCGAAGTCTGCTTTCTAAATTATGATCTAGACTCTAGACTGTGTCGATGAGGCCGTAAAAAAACACCTACATTGAAATACAAATCTTGTATAAGGTAGAAATACTCACCGTAAGAAGCGTTTGCTTTTTACATGAAAACAATGAGAACTGTCCCGGGGGTTTCAAACGTTAAATATTTTTTGAAAATCTTCAAACTCATAGAAGTACATGTATATTCAACACAAAGCACGACTTGGACATCTCAACAAGCCGACTAAAAGATCCTCACGGCGACTTGGACAGGAAAACAATGGCGTACAAAATCCAAATGTTAGCAAATTTCAATAAAGACCTGAGGCAAACGATGATGATAACTATAAGTACTTGAGATGGCTTGGGCCTTTATAGTAGCCCGAAGCACAAGTACTTGAAGCGTAGATGGAGTTTTCTTACGTCGTTACACATTGTTCACCAGTCGAGTTTAGTCTTTCCGTTTCTTGCGTCCTGTTGCCGTTTACTTTCGCTTGATTCGAAGCAAACTAACTGACGAACGAATTCCTTTCTTCTCTCTCCGCTTGATTCGAACAAACTAATAGTCGAACACATGTCTTTACTCGCTCTCTGCTTGAATCGAACAAACTACTGGACGAACAAATTTCTATCCTCTGTATTCTTCAACAAAACAGTTATCAAGAAACGTACTTTTGGGGAAACACACGTGTAGCACAGCTAAGGCGAAAATAACCTTGCCGTTACGAAGGACCTAAATATAGCAGGTCAAAACAGTCTGTCAATCTTATCGACTTGCCCTCTATTACAGGTCAAAAGCTCAGCTCAACAAAAATAACTAAGTGGACTCGAGAGACTTAGGACACTGACATGCTTATTTGGGGAAGTGTGGGAGCTGTGTGTGTGTGTGTGTGTGTGTGTGTGTGTTTTGTGTTTGAGTGGCGTGTGTGTGGATGGGG